AGTTCCCCAATCTGTTTACCGTAGTCACTGGAATTTGACAGATATGTCTAAGCCATAGTATGAATTATTCGCCTAAAGCTTTATGCATCGCAGGGTGAATTTCATTAATCATACCACTTTTCACGCTTTTAACAGCTATGATTTCAACTACCGAGAGTCTAATATCCTTTACTTGCTGCTTTTCAGGCGAGTCTTCATTGGTACTCCGGGTTAAGGATGTCTTCAAAGCACACGTTCCACACCCGAAGTGTATTCCCTTTTTTGATAAGGTATCAGGAATTGTCCCTCAGGATTCTTCGACTGATTTCCATTCCGTCGCGGAAGCGGCGGATGATCTACTAGAATAGTATGTTTACCGTCTGGAAATTCGTCTCTAGCACCTCATCGGATATTTCCCAGTAATCAGCTTTCATTTTAGCCACTGCTTCAGTTGCCGCCTTATGAGCCTCTTCGCACTGCATTTGAGTTGAACTGCCTTTGTTGCAAAGCCAGCACTTAACTGCAGCTTTCTGGCGAAGAGCTCTTTGATCTTCTTGTGCCCACCAGGAAGTTCGCTTATAACCCACAGGCGGCAAGCCAATGTATTTTAAACCGCAGCATCCAGCAGCAGCCCGGAGTCAATCGTTCGTAAAACACCTACACTCGGTTTCACGTAAATCCTTCCTGGAATCTACATCAACAATCGTTCGGTATTGATTGTTACTTTCGCCCTCAGCTTCACAGAAGATAACGGTTTCTATTTGATTCTCTGGTTCATTCAGTAACCGAGTTTTCACATGGAACACTATCGTTTGCTGCGAAGGGTGCCAACATTTGCGTCACAACATGTGATCGAGTGATAGCTCTGCGCTTCTCTTAACGGGAACATCCATTACAGAACGCCTGATGATATGATTATCAAGTCAGATGATATGATTATCAAGTTGAACATCAACTGCAATGCACAAGCTTCCCTCTATCGGGTATACTAATACATGCTTCGATACTCAAAAAAAGGTTTCATATTAGACAGTCCGTTGGTTCCACAAAGCCGCAGCAACTTTCTGCCGTTATCGTTGAGGTCGCTAGGACAGCTCCAATGACGCCTCAACATTGCTCCGATATGCCCATTGAAATCACCCACCAGAATCATGAATTCCATAGTCAGCACTTCGTACAGAAAACCTTCTACTTCCTCCAGGTAGGACTCATATTCTCCCTCTGAATTGGGCGCATAAACGTTTAACAAGTTCAAAGATGTCGCCTGTTGCAACTTCAATCGGAGGATTATCACTCGTCCGTGGACAGAATTCTATTCAACCATTCTGTCATCCAGGTTGGGTTCTACCAGACCATCAACACCAGCTTGAGAGCGGGTTGTGGAGTCAACAGCTGAACTGCATAGATTCCATCAGCAGAAGTTGTGAATTCCAGAGCCATGGCGCTTAGTCGACGAGAGTTCAACTTTCCATTCAGTACTTCGCCGAGTGATCAACTGGCTCCAGCTCTTTCCTTCTGGATGATTAGACGTTCCAGTTTCCGACTGTGAGGTTCCACTGTCAGTATCTGATGCGCAAAAATGGCATCGCGCTGTCTGCTTCCTCGCTTCAGAACGGGTAACGACTCGTCGCAGCATCTTCGAGTCCATCTTCAGCAGCCTTCATCGTCCTGCCACACCCCAGATGCCTGAAGGCGTGGAGTTTTAGATCGGCAACTTTTAACACTCTGCCTCAGTTTCTCAACAGCCCTTGGTAACCCAGGCGACAACCGAACCAGGATAACATTCGACAGTATCAATATCATGAAGGTCAGGGGGCTGATAGGTCGCCATGGTCCTCAACCATCTTCCTTTCTCATGTGGTCTTGGGGTATGCAACGACAGAGCTCCGAAAATATTTATCGTTTATTTGCATTTCGTAACCTGTTGTAAACATTCTTTCTGTATTACTTTACCACACTATCACTGGAAGAGGTAGGTAACTATGGTGCTCCTTCGGGGACAATGAGGTTAATAAAATTTACATTTGATTGATAGAAACCTGGAATCAGCACAAGTTATGCTTGTACAGTCATGCAGTAATTTACCTGAACTCAGGATGCTATTAATGTTACTGGGTCCTGCCATGCACCAAATCGGGAATCCCGTACTAAATCGGGCTCGTTTCGCTGTTACAAAAGAGGAAAGAAAAACAGCACTAATTTTACTATCTCGTAGAGAGGATACCACCTCGTTCACTGTGTATCTTGTTACCGATTTAACAATGCTTAAAAATTTCATTGTCGTTCGCAATAGTATACAGCAGTGTTCGGCAAGAGCAACATTTCCTGCACAACCTGATAAATAATACCTGACTGAAAAATGGTCGCGTACTTCCTGAGCCCACAATTTCATCTTCATCATCTATAACCGATTTTCCTTTCGGGTCGCGGTTGTAGACGGGCCAGACGGTGCTTCCAACGTTCCTACTCCAATTCACCGGTCTTTACCTCAAATTTTCCATCAATAGTAAATACGACTCCGAAGTAATTTAACTTCCCCACCTGCTCCACTGCCTTTCCGTTAATCTGAAGAGTTCAACTGGAGGGAGAAGGAGAAACACTAGGCTTTTCGTTTTAGATGCATTCACACGCATGCCGGTCACGTCGCACTGGGCTGCGAACCTTACTAGGGAGCACTGAAAATCAGTTTCAGAAGATGCTAATAAAACAAGGTCGTCTGCAAACAGTAACGTTCTAGTTTCGCCATCTTCTACGCTGGTAAACTCACGACTCTTGCTGCACATGACTTCTCTATCTATATACAACACAAACCAGAAAAATAATCAAATAATATTCAAATAATGCAATGCCACAATAATTGCCACAACACTCACTGTGGTGTCCCTTCTTGAACTGGAGTATAACAACCCCCGTTCTCCAATCCGCTGGTGTCTTCCCCGTAGCCACTGCAGCTTGAAAGACACGTGTAAGCCACGAATAAGGCACCTGCTGGCTTCCGTATGTAACGCAGCTGCGATAGGGGTCACTTCCTTAATGCCCGGAACAAAACGTTATGAGGAACCCAATCGGTACAACTAATCTACAGGTGGAACAGGGATGTGAAGCTCTTCAGAAGGTTGACCGGGTAAAGTATCTCGGCTTCATCATCTCTAGCGATGGAACTATCAGTCAGTTACATATGACGCCCTAGCCCCTCTCCCCTCCTGCCCACCCGTTCTTTTTGAAACTTGTTCAATATTTGGGCTGTAAAAGATGTTACTTTTCCCATGAAAATCCGGCTGTATCTTGTTTCTGTCAGGTCACTGCTGCTGTACGACAAAGAGACAGTTGTTGTAATGAATCAGCAAAAACCAGTTGAACTGCATGCAGCAACACTGAGTTCTACGCATGAGGGTTAAACGGTAGGACCACGTATGGAACGACTCTGTTTGCTTCTGGGCACAAGCGACATCGGTAGATGTGGAGACAGAGAATGGGTTGACCCTGTTAGACAAGCTGACTGAACATAAACCATTTACTATAGCCCGTGAGGTTCCATGTGGGAGCCGAAATACAGTAGACGTCGACCAGTAGGTGAGCAGGCAACATGGAGGAACAAGGTAGATGCAGATCTGCTGCTTTCGGAGTGGAATATTTTCTACTGCAATGCTTTAAGCAAGTGGTGAAAACTTGTGAATACAATGGACATCACAAACTATGGAAGTTCTGATTACGTAAGTGGCTCAAGGTGATGATTTTAATAAGAAACAACCCCTTTTGTCTTTACGAGATGCCATTCACTCAATGGAATTACTGATACATCCTAAAGCTCGTCAAATTCCTCCAGCATACTGAAGAAAGTAGGTACTGAGCAAAATGATCACCACAATGATGATTTTAAAATGCTCGCCACATCAATGCTAAAGGAGAGTATATTCAGTAAGCGTGCATTCCGATTCCCGGTTGGAATAGAGGCCATAATGAGGGAAAGCATAACTCGGAAATCGATCAACTGGATAATACTCTACTACTCATCATACTGCAAAGTGTCTGTCAGGAACCTTTAGCCAGCTTCAATAAACGGTGGATCATCGTGAATACGACGGACAGGCTCAGGCAATGTAGATCATTATGATACACCCGCGGCGGAGTGCCTACGATGCCGCTTGTTCATGTGGCCCCAGGGCGCTGTTTGCATGCGGAACAGATTTGCACAATGAATCCACCTAAACTATAACAATGCCCTGAAAAAAACGATAATAGCTTGTTTTCAGTCTTAATCGAAAGACCGCTGCCCTACATGGTTCCTCGAAAGCGACACCATTTCGTCATCCGGGTTTCGTCAGACTCGCAAGTTTTGGTCATCACTCTTCGTTGCTCAGTAATAAAGTGTGACTGGTGCAATCTTATTCCTTGCATCAGCATACAATAATGTAACTGCTTTGATAGCTACAACCCAAATTCGCGTCGACTCAAGTGGTAGACAGAGGACCATAAATTTGCGACCTTTTACGGTAAGGGCAGAGCGTGGAATTATGCATCCAAGACAGTGTGCGATGCTGATTCCGGCAAACTGTGCCGAAATTAATAAACTGAAAAAACGGCTACAAAACACTAACAGTGTAAATAAAGTGACAACAGCAACAACTGTCGTATGTCATTATACGATGTTACCTTATCTGCCGGCTTTACATGCAGAAAACGGCTGAACAAGTTGCGCCACCGAAAACTATGATGCACATAAAACACGGTTAACGAAGTTAACAGCTGTGATGTCCTTAAGTATCAGACATAACCGGTTTCTATGCGAATGAGGATGTATCGACTGCCTGTCACAAAAACAGCTCGTCAACGCAAATTAAAATTTATTCGTAGCGATGTACTAACATTTTCAACATAGCATAACAAGCGAAGCCTTCACATATATAAGTTAATATTTGCATATAATAAATTAGGTTATTACAGTCGTTAACATGACCATCGTCAATTGTCGGGTCTGGTACGACTATCAACAACAATAGCACTAATATATGACCGAGTCTTTATGACTCGCACGCCAGCTCTAAGAAACCGGGACAAGACATGTTACGCTTTAATGCATCTTCATTGGTCGATTCGTTTATCTGAGTGTCATTAACGCTACTTAATCCGGCTGTAAACGCGGAAATCAGACCGCTAAACTGTTTATTTTTATCCGAGCCGCCACCGAGATCACAGGCAAAGGCGGAAGATGGCGTTTCGGATTCAGTACAGTTTTTCTTGTTGCACAAAGTATCTTCGGTGGTGCTCTCTTCTAATTTCCTCTTGTTCGACATTAAAGCAATATTTGATGAGCATACTACCGCCGAACGATGTTCGACAACGGCGCACGGTTGCTGCGAGGGCAGAGTACAGATATTTTGAGTCGACTCGAGTTCCCGGTTCTGTGCGTGGTCAAGAGCGCACGATGAAGGTGAGTATGAATTGTCGTGGCCTCGCGATTGGTCCATCGTCACGAGAGGAACGCAAAGTTCGTTTCCTAGGCGCCGTCCGAAGGTCGGTGGAGAGAACAGCGATGGCGATAGAGAAATCGACGACGTCGATGAAAATTCCAACTTCGGGTGGAGGCTGCTTTCTGTAGGGCAAGCCTCACATTCATCCGACAAATCAAAACCATCGTTCGAATCGTTCCAGTCAGACTGGCCAGCGTACGCGATGATGGGACACTGCTGCTGCGCGGAAAACACCGATGAACTAGACATGCTGTTAATTTCCGTACACGTGTTTAAGTACCTTAAATATAAACAGATGTTAAACGGGAACACTCAAAAAAAACAGAGGGTCACTGGGCGAGGGTAGCGGTAGCAGAATGAGCAACCGCAGAATTCGGATGCTCCGTCTAAGATCATCTGACTGACCATCGATGAATGACGTATCAGAAAAAAGAGGAATCATGACTGGCTGATCCAGAACCTACAGGTGAATCATTAAGCGGATGCACTTTCTCCGGTACAACGCAAGCCACTGAATAAACAAGCGTTGAATACGCACCGGCGCGCACAGACACGCAACGCAGTGCGTGCGCGACGATCTGAAGAACGTAACGGGGTCGGTGACCAACTGCCTAATGGTTGGCCAGTCGGGTGGACGACAGAAACGCAACAGCGACAAAAAGAATGTCGTGCTTGTCGTCCTTTTCGTGAGTTACTGCCGTCGTCATCGACGGTCAGGTCGCCCAGACAGGCAAGAGATGTGAAACTCGTGCCAAGGTACACACAGTGGAAGAAAGGGAGAGCAAGGGTCGGTGATCGGATTGCTGCGGGTCGGTCGATCGGTCGGTCGGTCGAGCGGCGGCTGTTTGAGTATTTCTCGCGCTTACCTGTACTGCTGTTCGAAGCGGGCCTTCTGCAACACGTGAATGATGAGCAAGTTCTTGCGCAGCCTAGCGCCGCCGCGCTCGCTCTTGCTATTGACGATCTTCGAGAACGACAGTTGGATGAGCTTCTCGCAGATCTCGTCCTGATATGGAACCGGAGACGTACCGGGATCGTCCATCTGCGCGTGTGTGAAAGTTCCAGGTACGCGATGACGAGGCAGTATGTGAAAGTGACAGAGACGGCGACCAGAAGTGGACGGAAGCGAGACAGGTTCGCGGCGTCGGAAGTCTGCAAGGTGACTGACGAACCAGACGCAGGCGACGGTCAACGGTGGCCCGACAGTGGGCTAATCGACGACAGTGAACTGCAGGCAGGCGCCTGTGGCGGCAAAAAACAACTTAACCTCGCATTAACTTCGATCACGCCTTAAGCCAAACAATTCACACGACAGCAACGACCACAAGCACAAGCAACCGGCACGCGACGACGACGCACACCACCTAACAACCGCGTAAACAGCATGCACACTGCACACTACCGACCTCCAACGCCAACGAACGCCACTCGATTGCCGCCGTATCGATCTGCGTCCGCTGCCGATGACGTTGCGGCGACCAATCGCCTCGCCAATTTTCGACAACAAAACGTCGGTGACGTTGCTGATTGGTTTACGTTTTCCAATGTTTGGCGATCTGCCAGACAC